ATGGTTAACAGATCAGTTATCAGCACAAACATGCTACCATTCACAATATAACCACCAGGTAAAAATATGATTCAAGTGAAGCTGGAAAAACCAGGAACGCCATACAAGTTCAATCCAGTTTGAATCCAAGTAAAGTACGACAATGTATAACATGGTGGGAATCTCTGAAAAGATTATCATCCAATTGATCAAAACTCAGAATACATAATGGAACTTATGACAGTCAGCTAATAACCGCTATTCATAGAAATGAAACTGGACTCATTATGTGCATCACAACATATACTAGGAGCATCCCAAGACCCAGAGTATGAATCAGTACTGATTTTAATTACATCCAGATGGACTAATTTGAAACCTTTTGTATGGACAAATTGAGTCGATGGACAATATTATTTAATTAAATGTATCAATGTTATCCAGAGGAAACACTGAATATAAACAATCTTTCAATCCAACAACCTGTGGATATACAAAATTAAAAATATGTCCAACATTGATGACACCACCAACAGATGGACTTCTTAGGGAATGTTGCATGATGTTAAAATGGTTACTTTAGAGATAACTTATGATTTAGCTATATTGTTGTATTGCAATATAAAAATGTAATCAATTGTAGAAACAAAACCAGTACTTTACAATGGCTGCAACAAAGCATATCTGTTACGACTTGCCCAATGAGGACCTGACACACACCTCTCCGCATTACAGTGCGTAATCAGTAATCAGACACACCCCTACTCCTGGGTACTTTAACCTGCCTCACTCACATCTCCCTGCTCAGTATTTGCTTGAACTTCTCGTGAGATAATTCAGAGTCTTTTGCCATATTGATTGCTTCCTGGTTATTCTAGACTTCTGGTTTGCTTACTCGACTTCGGTTTTGGATCTTGTTTTCGGATTGGTCTTTTGGATTCACTTCCTGTTTTTTTTAACTTGATACTTTTTGACTACGGATTATGGCATCCTGGTTTTCGGCTTCTTGTTTTCTCATCTCCCACATA